AACCGATTTTTTAATCCTTGAAACAGGTTCGCATTTAAATACTTCCCATCACAAAAAACATGCTTTTTCACAATTTTGCAACTGAAGTTGCAAAGTTTTGCAAAGAAGCAGTAGGTGTCGTTTCAGCAAACTGGCGAGGAATCGTTTGTCTTTTATGACTATAAACCTTATTATTTTATAATATTCCAAAACCTGATACTGCTAATTTAATACTACAGGGTGTCCCACTTTCAAACTGCTGTAAAAAAAACCACTCGTCACAATGAGTTCAAATTTGAATTTCAGATACTTGAAGAAGAGGGAAACGGTACGGCATCAATAAGAGTTCCAAAGTGCATTAATACATGAAGCTGTAAGTGGCATAAAGAAAGTAAATTAGGCTGCCAGTTATATTTTGAATCGAAATGGCAGCGTATTTGGTCTGAGTTGCACATGAAACCAACTGTAGTGTTCAATGTGCTTGAGTGTTTCGGTTTTTTTTGACGGAAAAAAGGAATTCCAAGTCATTCAACAGTTGTGACATTGTTAGTGGCAAAAGATCATATCAAATTGGATTTTGAAAAGTCGGTGGAACTTTTTTGGAATTTTTTTTTATGTCATACAGTTTTCCCCTTCTTCAAGTATCAAGTAATTCAAATTTGAGCTCATTGTGACTAGTGGTCCTTTTTTTTTACATCAATTTGAAAGTAAAACTTCAATTATAATCACCTTGTATATTCATTTTTTTTTTACTTCGCATTTATTAAAATTATTAAAATTGTGTTTAGAGTCATCTTTTATTACAAAATATGGGTTCTTTGCAAGGCTTTCAAAAAATCATTAAAATATGGGATGAATATTTTTATTGGCAATCATAATTAATTTACACCTAATGTTTTAAGAGTTCTCAATCTAGACTCTAATTTGGCATATAATGAACTAGAATTAACTGTAATTTTAGCTTGATGTACCGAAATAATTAATTAATTATAATAATTATCTGATATATGCTTCGACTAACGTATTTTCTCTTCCGTACAAATATTTTAAGGAATTGATTGACTGCCTGATGGCCAATTGGCTAGCACTCTGGTCTTTTGTAATACATCCTTTAGATTCGAATCCTGGATGGGGCATGAATGTTTGTCAGTGGTTCGAAATTTAAGCCTGATAGCCGAGTGGCTAGCATTCTGGTGCTCGGTACCACAGGGTTCGAGTTCCGGCGGTACCATCGATGTTTGTAGTGGTTCGGAATCCACTTTAAGCCGTAGGTCCCGGTCTCATATGACCGTAGAGCGTCACAGAGCCCAATCAGATTTTTCATCCGCATCAATCCCAAACTGTAAAGGGGCGACTCAGCTCTAGACCCAGTGATGTGGTGTGTGGTATAGTGGTAGTAGTGGTTCGAAATCCATGTTAAGCTGTAGATTCCGATCTAATTAACCTAAAGTGTGCGAAAAGTGACCATATAGCAACAAACTTAACCAAACCAAATTTAACAGAAATATTCTTAATTATTTCTCTGGATTTAGTGCCCCTTGACAGTAGTTTGTATTAAATATTTATAATTGTCTTTGTCATCATCATGTCAAGGATTACAGTGTATGTAAGGATTGGAGGACTGAGGTTTTCTTTAAAAGTTATTATTGACTGATAATTTTAATAATATTTGAATGATAGTTACTTCGGATTAAGTACATTTGGCCACGAAATTTTTTTAAAGTTAATGTATCAAATCATATAACTCCAAAGTATGCATATTGCTGAAATGGAAGAAGATTGCATAAATGCACCAAATTTTGCAATTTTTAAAATCTTGCCAAGAAAGTGGATTAAACTGCACTTTTACCATTACTTGTAGCATTATTTGTATTTTTTTTTTTTCATTTCATAAAATAATTAGTAAAATTATTAAACAAGATGAGCTGTTTAAGTAATTAAAAAGATAAGCTGCTTTTCTATTAAAAAAAAAAAGTTAATAGTGTACAACTAAAATTTCATTTGCTTTAGAACACACGTATCCTCAATTAACCTAATAAATATTTTATTTTCCTAAAATATATAAATCTATTTTCTATATATAAAACACTAATATTAGCATCATAAATATTTAAGAACCTAAATAACCTTGAATATTATACCTTAACTAGTATGAGCCTTATTCTATTAATATATTTTTTTTTATTTTAGCAGATTAATTTATATCAATGGAAGATCTTCTGTCCAGCATTAAAAGTTGCTTGGAAACGCATATATCTCCAATAACAGAGGAGCCTGAAACTAGTGATACAGAACAGTAAGTTTCATTTTAGTGACTTATAACCCGTTATCTGTATTCTTCTTAGTTTGGCGAAAACAAATGGCGCCAAATAAAATGTCCATGTGCGAAAGTGAAACGAATCAGGTGATCTGGTGAAAGTACGTTTGCTTAACAGTAAAAAATTAAAAAAAAAGTGAAGAAGTTTCAGAAAAACCATTCAAATAAGTATCTCTTCATCATATATAAAAACAACAGATTGGCGATTTGTGTGGCTCGATTTTATGAATTATAGCTATAAATTTGAACACTTTTGAACTGTTTTCAAATATGCATGAAATTTATAATTTTTGATAGAGCATCCTTACCACACAGTTTTTTTTTTTGTTGTTGTTTTTTCTTTCTAATGCAGCTGGCAAACACAGACAGCTTGGTCTTCGATACCTTAAGGCAAGTGCTGCGCAGACGTACTCACTTTGCATTACCCAGGGGGCGCGTGTAACTTGAAGATAAGCCACGGACGCGGAGTAACAATGTCCCCGCAACGCTCTACGATCCTATTAGACCGGGACCTACTTTTTTAAAGTGGATTCCGAACCACTACAAACAACCATGGCACCGCCGGGACTCGAACCCGAAACCTGTGGTACCGAGCGGCAGAGCGCTAGCCACTCGGCCATTCAGGCCCCTCTTACCACACAGTTTGGTAAAGTAAAAAAGTAACTCGTCCAATTTTTACGCATGCATACATGATGTGGAAGGTTATTTCCATCATAAAAAAACTGCTAATGCATTATCCTCTTTCGCTGGTTTTCTTTTTTTTTTTTTTTTTCTTTCTTATTTTGCTTAGTTCATTTTTTTAAGGTAATCAAATCAGCTATTTAATATTGCAACAGTTTCTTCGTACATGCTTTAATTATATAAAGGGAACAAATAAAGCTCATAACATTTACGAATGACATACAAAAAGTACTTGTTTCGTATAGAAAGCTGAAATGAAGCTATTCATCGTGTAGCCAATAAAGTCGGGTAGAAAATGTCGCATAGAGAATGCTGAAACGAAGCTACAAAACTAGCTAAGCAACTCGTAGTATCACCGAAAAGGTCGGGTCAAGAAATTGGGTACAAAATGTTCCATAAAGAATACTGAATCGAAGTTTTACAATATTAACTAACTAATTCTAACTATCGCCAAAAAAAGTCGCCAAGAAGTCGGGTTCTTTTACAATGAGCAAAAATTTTCAAATCTTTTTTTCAGAGTTCGTCAAAATTATTTCCAAAATGGCCAAACTGGCCACATGGCTCCAAAAATTCTTGGTGGCTTAATTTTCACCCATTCTTTATTTGATTTCGCTAGTACAGATCCAAATGAGATTTAACATTTAAATAACCATTTTAATTTGCATTAAATGGGGTTTATATTAAATTGAAATAGGAGGATATAATAGAAATATATCAGTTAATCAGTTGGATGCTGATTTCAGTGTTTCAGAAAATGAGTTTTAAATTATGATTTGTTAGATTAACTTTTGCATCCTTGAAGAATGCTTAGATCAGTAAAAAAAATCAAAAGTCTGAGTTCGGAGTTGGAGCGAGAGAGATCGAAGGCAGCGTGATCATGAAGGAATGCCGATGTGTAGGAATGTAGGAATGCCGATGTGTAGGAATGCAGGAATGCACCAGTGTGTTTGATAATGGTTGAACTCATTGGAGATATTCATCGCAGTTGTTTTGACTGGGTTAGTTGATATTGTATTTAGTAGGATCAATAAATGTGTTGTGGAATTTTGAAGTTTCCTTATTGGCATCGTCGGAAGGTTTGGCGCCTATCAGGATTGTTACGATAGAAAGGAATTCATGATTAGTAGCTGTTAAAGTAAAGATCCGAGTTCATTTTCTTTTCTTTTTTTTTTCGAAGTGTAACTCACGTTTGAATATTATTTGCGCAGAAATATTCTAAGAATTAAATTGGTTTGAGTAACGTAATTAGCAATGGCATTTTTACACAAAAATTTTAAGAAATGCGAGGATGAGTTCAGGAATTGGGAAACAAAATTGTAGAAGGTTTGAAAATAATAGAATTTAAGTATTTATTATTAAAGTCGAAAGCATAAGGCCATGAAATAACTGTTTGAGATAATTTCAATTTAAAGTGAAATACGTAACAGGGAAGAAAGAGACTTTAAACTTGAGTAAATGTGAATTCAGACCTCGATATTCAGTTCCAATCCAGTGATCAATGAAGAAGCAGTTCCGAGTTGCAATTCATTCATTCCATAAAAGACCTTTCAAAATGTTGATCCAAGAGCGGGTGACATCAATCTTTACTTGGTGACCTTTAAACGTCTGGCTAGGAGATTGGAGTTAAATAAAACCCATTGAGTTACTCAATTGTTGCCTCTTTTTCCAAGGAACATAATTTAGCTTAAATTTAAAGAATCAGAAGAAAGACCAGACGAATACGACTGCATGAAGAAGAGCTTAATTTAGGCTTAGTGTCGAGATTTGTAAAACAATCAAAACTAGTAGGGTGTTTTTTTTTTTTTTTTTTTTTTTTTTTTTTTTTTAAGCAGATTATATTTAGGAAGATTAACTTCGAATAGGAGGTATCCAATGGAAGTTTTGCTTTCACTTCATCCTTGATGCTAGTTTTGTTGTTGTTGTTGAAAAAAAAGTAGCTGGACAATCTTCTTTGCGGTTTTGTCGCCATTGCGTGTGTCCTTACGATCAAGTATCTCTCTTCCAATTGCTTCCATTACATTTCTCTCGTTAGATCACCGAAGTCAAGCATCATTGGGCGCGGTCAGTACTTGGGTGGGTGACCACTTGGGAACGCCGCGTACCGTTGGCATTCACAAATTTGGAACCTGAATGGCCGAGTGTCTAGCGCTCTGGCGCTCGGTGCCACAGGTTTCGGGTTCGAATCCCGGCGGTGCCATGGATGTTTGTAGTGGTTCGGATTCCACTTTAAGCCGTAGGTCCCGGTCTCCTATGACTGTAAGAGCGTCACGGAGCCAAAGTCAGACTTCTACCTACGGGTGCTCCATCACAACAGAAGCTGCTTCCTTCCCCTTCAATCATGAGTACGTATGGGCTCGTGGGCTTGGCCAGCCAAGTGGGATAAGAAACAACAACAAACATTTCATTAAATTTCTTCCGTTTTATAATTAGTTGTTTATTTATTTATTCTTGTACTTTAACATATAGGGCAAGTAAATACATTCATTCTCCTGGCGGACAAAATAACATGAAAATAAATACTCGGGTAATACCGGATAAATAACCAACTAGCATTCAATAACCTAAAATAAACTAACGGATATTATAATACTAATGTATCTTAAAATAGAAAAAAAAAAATTGAAAGTTCATCCAAACTCCTGACGTATATCTTTATAAAAAATTGTGTAATCTCAATTTTGAAGGATTTAAGAATAAGTAGGATTTTGAAGGATTTTAGGAATACTCAAATTCGAATGAAGATTTTTATTTTCAAATTAGCTATAATTGACAACAAAAATACTATATACAAGTATATATTTTGTTCTGCTATGATAAAATGATGTGATTTTGAATAAAAAAAAATTTATCGAAGAATTTGCTAAATAATAAAAAAATAAAGAATTTGCCATCGAAAACAATTATTTATTTAAATAAAAAATAATTTAAAATTTTCATGATCTTCTGTTATGAAATATTTAAAAAAATAAACAACGAGGCTTCAGAAAAATAATTGTGCCATTATTTAGTTATTACTGCATAAATAATGATTTATTTATATGTATAAATTTTATTTTACTCTTTTTTTTTGTAAATATTAAATGTATTATTCTAATACATCTGGCAATACAGTGACAGTTAATCTTTATACTATAAGCAATGGTTACTCATTTAGCACTACTCAGGGGGCACATGTAGCTTAAAGATATGCTACGGACGCAAGTAACACTACCCCCACAACGCTCTACGATCACATTAGACCGAGATCTACGGCTTAAGGGGGATTCCGAACCACTGCAAATATCTATGGCACCACAGGGACTCGAACTTGAAACATGTTTCACTTAGCGCTAGAGCGCTAGTCACTCGGCCATTAGGCGCCAATTTATTGTCATTATTTATTTTTATTTTTATTAAATATTAATTTTTTGTTAAGTGAATATTTATGGAAGCAGACAGTGTTTGAAATAACAATTTAAAAATTGTTTTAATGTTTCAAATTATTGTTTTTATGTCATAAAAATAGAATTACTTTGCATAGTTTTATTATTTTTAATTTCGCACCAGTAAAAAAATAATGCTCTTATTTCATAAGTTAATGTCATAAGTTTAATATTTAAAAGGATTGCAGACTGACATACGCACATTTCTCTTTGAAAAGGACAACAACCTACTCTAACCACACAGGACTGTTTACTCCCTTCACAAAATAAAACACACCATTAAACACCAAATATAAGATTCACGAAACTTCTTACTGAGCTGAAAAGCAGAAGATTGCACTCGTTCTGAACAAAGACTGGTTCATATGTTTCTCGATATAACTGACGTGATCTAAGAGACTCAAGAACAGGTTTAAGATGAATAACCTTTACTTATCTTTTTCCCTCGGGGGGTTTGCATTCGAAAACATGATTTGGAGGTGAGAAAAAAGATATACAAAGTTTCAACTCAGAACTGCTGATTAGATACTGCATAAACTAACTACATTCTATAGTAAATCAGCATTGAACTTTTAAAAGCTTTTAGCATAGAAACTTTTTTTGCACAGAATAGTTATCGATAAGGGCCTGAATGGCCGAGTGGCTAGCGCTCTGGCGCTCGGTGCCCGGCGGTGCCATGGATGTTTGTAGTGGTTCGGAATCCACTTTAAACCGTAGGTCCCGGATCGCAGAGCATTGCGGGGGCATTGTTACTCCGCGTCCGTGGCTTATCTTCAAGTTACACGCACCCCCTGGGTAATGCAAAGTGAGTAACGTCTGTGCAGCGCTTGCCTTAAGGCATCCAAGACAAGTGTCTAAGTGTTTGCCAGCTGCATTAGAAAAAAAATATATGTATTTATCGATATTTTAAAAGAGCATCTTTCTAAAGCCTTCAAATAACAATTTATAGTGTTATTACTTATTTATTTATTTTGTACGCTGGCAACCTGGTATTTCATTAATGTACATTTTTTTTTGGTTTGTCGCTGTATGGTCATTTTCTGCACTCTTTGGACTAATAGACTGGGACCTACAGTTTAACGTGGATTCCGAACCACTCACAAACATCCATGCCGCCGCCAGGATTCGAATCTGAAGACTATGGTACCAAAGCTAGCCAATTGGCCATCAGGCCGCCATTAATGTACATTCTGAATAGTTCACCAGTAGGTGATGATGGAGATGCATTGCCTTCCAAGAGGATTTTTAAGGGCAATTCCTCCCTATTTGCATATCATATGAGAGAAAAAACGGAAAATTCTCACTAGGAAGTACAGCTATCGATGTGCGATATTCTGTAATTATCATCACCGAATCTCTTCATTACTTTAAGCACTGCAACAGGCTTCGACTTGCGTCCGCATTAACTGTGAACATTATCACCAGGGTACAAATTGGTTTTTATAGTATACAATCCAGGGGACCTGATGGCCGAGTGGCTAGCGCTGTGGAGCTCGGTACCACAGGTTTTGGGTTCGAGCCCCGGCGGTGTCATGGATGTTTGTAGGGGTTCGGAATTCTTTTTAAAGCATAGGTTCCGGTCTAATAGGATCGTAGAATGTTGTGGGATAGTGTTACTCAGCGTCCACCTAGTTAGTGCTAAATGAATATCAATCCTTGTTTATGGCATAAACATTAACTGTCTCTGTATTCCCAGCTACATTAGAACAAAAACAGTATACATTCGTTGCGCCAGAATTTTTTTTAAATAAATCAGTCTTTGAGTATTTTGTGCAGCTAAACCCCACCCTATATGTAAAACTATTTATTACCACTGTATTTTCAATAATTGATATTGTCCAAAGCTACTTTACAATGCTTCTATAGAAGAACAAATTCAGACACTGAAAAACGGTGATTATTACGTGAAAATTAATTTTATTAATTTATTGTAAATTATTTTTTTTAAATCACCATGTAGCCATAAATTATATTGAAACATCTGGTATGCAAAACTATAATCTAAATCATCTGGTGGCATAAATTATGCCTCTAAATATAATTCGTTACTTATGCAAATAAGGATATATTTAAGGATTTCATCGATCCACTAATATGATTATGAGGCGTTTTGAAACCGAGATAGAGAATTTAAAATAACAGTTTAATTGAGGAAGATAAAGCAATGAAATTTTTTAATCTGCGGAAACTCATAAAAGTTCTGTAAATGATATTATTTTAAGAATGCCAATTCTCTCGCCAAACCCATCTGGTATGCCAAAAGTTTCAAAACCAAATGATGCGAAAAAACTAATGCACCTTGTCAGAGATTGATGTGTGTTCATTAAGAGGATGAATTCAAATGTTTCGGAGGCAAGATAGAAAAGGAAGAGGAATAAAAATTTCGAAATGGGATTGGTTTGGTCTGTCGCTTAACGGTCATCTTGTGCACACTTTAGGCTAAACAGACTGCGACCTACAGTTTAAAGTGGATTCCGAACCACTCACAAACATCCATGCCATCGCCAGGATTTGAATCTGAAGCCTATGATACCAATGGCCAGAGCACTAGCCACTTGGCCATTAGGCCGCTTTGAAATAGGAAGGATAGATTTCGGTAGAGATGCACGCATATAGATATGCGGGCATATTTTAATGATATAGATCAACATTTTAAATGACAACCTATATTCTATTGTCTTCTCCATTACGGACCAATAACCGTCTACCTGCTGACAGATTTCGAGACAGGAGATGGTTTCTTTTTACGGGGTAGTTGTCAGTCCTACGCCCAACACTCTGCTATTGTATTAGACCGGGACCTATGGCTTAAAGTGGATTCCGAACCACTCACAAACATCCATGCCATCGCCAGGATTTGAATCTGAAGCCCCAAAGGCCAGAGCGCTAGCCACTTGGCCATTAGGCCGCTTCGAAATAGGAAGGATAGATTTCGGTAGAGATGCACGCATATAGATATGCGGGCATATTTTAATGATATAGATCAACATTTTAAATGACAACCTATATTCTATTGTCTTCTCCATTAGCGCAACAGCTCCATTACGGACCAATAACCGTCTACCTACTGACAGATTTCGAGACAGGAGATGGTTTCTTTTTACGGGGTAGTTGTCAGTCCTACGCCCAACACTCTGCTATCGTATTAGACCGGGACCTATGGCTTAAAGTGGATTCCGAACAACTGCAAACATACACGGCACCACCAGTATTCGAACTCAAAACATGTGGCACCGAGAGCCAGATAGTTAGGTTCTCGGATTGAACTCACGACGTTCGCCTTGTTAGTGCAACGCTTTAATCTAACTAATGGCTCATATTCCATTGTGAAAGTGATACTACTGTGCCCCAAAAGTAAAACCAATTTTCAATTTAACTTTCCCGGGAATACGGAATTTCAATTTCTTTTTTTTTTTTACGTTGTTGGCACTGTCATTGACGTCTGTGTGAAATTCGACGTCAAAATATTCATTCGTGTTTGAGTTACGCTTGGTTTTGTGAGACGCTAAAATTAATTCGGGCGATTTTTGAAATGTCTGAATGAATTGAGCAAAGAACTTGCATTCAATTTTGTTTGCGGAAAAGTGTAGAATTTTGCAGAAGGCGTTTGGTGAATATTCCTATATCGGAAAGAAATGTTTGCAAGTGGTATAAACAATTCAAAGAAGGCAGAGAACGCGTTG